CATTTATTATATATAATATATTTATTATTAGAAATACACATATACACACACATATATACTTCTAAACAAGAAATTAATATATTAACCTAGTAATCTGACTTCTCTAAAAGAGAATTTATATCTATCATCTATCTATAGATCTATCTTTCTATCATCTACATATACATACATACTTCTAAATAAGAAATTAATATATTAACCTAAGGAGGATATCTATTTGCCTTATAATTTTATTCATAGGTACAATTGTTTATAATCCAAGGAGGTCCAAGGTGTGAATTCCAAGCTGACGATAATTTATAACTTCATTAGAATTTTAAAAATCAGATGCAGAATCAAGTATAGAAAATATATACCCATGCTTCATCTTGCTTCTTTAAAATACATCTTTAAGGGATAAATACTTGCATCCACTAGCTCCTACCTCTAAACAGCCAAGCATAATCTCTAGTAACATTTTAAAACTCTAAGAGGCTAAATTAAAGGATATTCTGTTGACCTGTGTGCCTTTGATTTAAGACTGCATGTTTATACTTACATTTAAGAAAATACTAAAATTTATTTCATGGAGTTTCCTAGAATATATTGGGAATTCAACTCTATTATGATTTATGCATAGAAAAACTAAAATAATTTGTGTAAAATGGGTTGTTGCTTCATGATATTCTTTCCACTTTGTAAATGATATAATTATGCAATGTGACCCAAAATTTAGCCATAGTATACAAAATTGGATTTGGACATAAATATTTTTCAACACCCATATAGTAAAGTTTGATATTCTCATCTAGTATGTCTACAAAATACTTGAACAGAATCTCACTGGGGTTAAAGGGGTGTAAGTGAAGGGAAAAAGATGAGAGCATATTTACCGGAGTTCTCAGCTCAGGTATGGCAGCTTGATAGGTGAGTGGGCGACAATCACGAGTGTTTGGCACGAGGACACAAGGAAGAAACATTGGACCCAAGTCATCTCCATCCAGAACATCTACTGTAAGTGTGGTAGTTGTGGTTCGTCGTTCATTCAGATTTTGTGCACGGTCCTATGAGAGAAGAAAAATCAAAACAAAACAAACAAACAAAACAACAAGATGGATTTAATGTTGCCTTTAGTTAGACTAAATTCTAGACAAATTTTTTCCTGGCTGTAGACAACTGACCTCTTTTTTCTTAAAGCATTTATTTTAGAAAACTTGAAATTGTAAAATTTTCTTTGCCCATTTGAGATGTCAATCTTCTCCCACCTCAATCTTTTTAATTAAAGTATAGTTGATATATGGTATTATATTAGTCTCAGTGTTCAACATAATGACTCCACATGTACATACCTTATAATCACAATAAGTCTAGTAATCATCTGTCACAGTATATTTATTATGATATTATTATAGAAGTGCCTCAAAAATTAAAACTAGAACTACTACACAAACCAGCAGTTCCACTTCTAGGTATTTATCCAAAGAAAATGAAAACACTTACTTGAAGATATGTATGCACCCCCATATTCATCCGAGTTCAAACTTTTGCCAGTTTTACAACCCAGGACTCTTTCTCAAGAACCTGGGAATTGTCTCTTTGAAACATAATCATCCAGGAAGATAGAGCTCCTATTTTTTCAGTTGATGTGAGAGGGTAGGAGCCTAATTTCCATAGGAGGCCTTCTTCAAATTGTGAAACTATCTCTCATCATAAAGATACAAGTTGACTTTTCCTTTGAAAGGGCCAATTAGCACACAAGATGATCCTCCATTCTTCTACCACTCCCTCACCCAGTCTGTTTTTTATGTGCTTCAAGCAATTTAAGTTAATTAGTTAAATTTTGGTTATTAAAAAAAAAAAAAAAACCTCAGAAAAGAAAAATGAAGAGCAGGATACAGAAAAGGAAAAAATAGAAAACCCATAAGGTCTGCTGTGCTCCCATTAGAAAAATGTTTTTGTATGCCTCACGTAAGTTTTTCTATTATAAAGTGTTTTGATAGCATTACTTGTCTCCCTGTAGTCAGCTGACATCACTAATATAATCTAGTTTTCTAAATGAGTTTCTAAATGAGAATTGTTTTATTTTGTTTCTTCATTCTTTGGGACTCTATAAAGCTATAATTGCTGAGATGTGTCCTTGTAGCAGTAGGGGAACTTATGTTTCAACTTTTTCTTTTTTTCACTAGGTAATATATTGCCAAGAGAACAGTGGATTTTTTGTTTTGTATTTAGTTTTACATTTTTATTGAGATATAACTGACATATGGCATTGTATAAACTTAAGGTGTATAGTATAAAGATTTGACTTATAGATATTGTGAAATGATTACCACAAAAAGTTTAGTTAATATACATTATCTCATATAGATATCCCCCCCAAAGTTTTTTCCTTGTGATGAGAAATCCCACCCCAGCTTTAAAAACTCTCTAGCCCTTCTATTCAGTTGAGTTCAGTTCTGACTGCATTCTAGTCTCCTTCCTGTTGTAATAGCTTTGGATAAAGTGCTCTTTACCCATTTAACTTTGTCAAGTGCAATTTTTGCTTTCATAATACATTGTTATTAGCCAAAACCTATACTTCATTAAGCTTTTTCTAGTTTTTATCTGATGTCTGTTTTCTATTCCAGGATCCCCATCCAGGATGGATTCTATTTTACACTTAGTCATCATGTCTTGTTAGGCTCCTTTTGGCTCTGACAATTTCTTAGACTTCCTTTGTTTTTAACTACCATGAAAATTTTGAGTACTGATCAAGTATTTTGTAGAACATCCCTCAATAGGGGCTTTGTATGATGTTTTTTTTTTTCAAAATTGGACTGGGATTATGCAATTTGGGGTTGGTGAGGAAGATCATGGAGATAAAGATTCATTTTATCACATTATATCAAAAGTATATATTATTAATATGACTATATTTTATGTCAACCTTGATCACCTGGCTGAGATTGTGTCCATTAGATTTCTCCATTGCAAAGTTACTCTTTCTTTTCCCCCTCTCCATTTCTTTGGAAAGAAATCACTATGAGCAGCCCACATTAAGAACTAAGAATGATTTCATTAGAAATTTATAGATTTTATTTATCTAAAAAGTGTTTGTCATGAAGACACAAGGAAGAAACACGGATCCATTCATCTCCATTCAGAACATTTACTATGAAATTGTTAGAGGCACTTTGTTATTCATTATGGTGGAATCTAGAAGTGTTTTTACTTTCATAGTATTGTTATCTTAAAGAATTATTTCTTTTTCTTTAAAATTCTATTCTGTACAATTCAGCTCCAAAAACTAATTACTCTTATATCCATGCTTACAGCAGCACTAGTCACAACAGCTAAAAATTGGGCACAATTAAAACATCTATCAATAAATGAATGGATAGACAAATTTTAGTGTGTGTGTAATATATATGCAATAACAGCCACAGAAAGAAATGAAGTACTGACATCATCAGCTTGTTCTCTATATCTATGGGTCTGTTTCTGTTGTTTTGTATATTCATTTGTTTTTTTTTTTGTTTGTTTGTTTTTTTAGAGTCCACTTATAAGTGAAATCATATGGTATTTTTCTTTGTCTGATTTATTTCACTTAGCATAATTACTCTCTGGGTCCATCCATGTTGTCCCAAATGAAAAAAATTCATAACTTGTTATTGTTGAATAATATTACATCGTGTGTGTGTATATAATCACATCTTTATCCATTAATCTATCAATGAACACCCAGGTTACTTCTATAGCTTGGCTATTGTTAGGAATGCTTCAATGAACATAGGGGTACAAATATCTTTTTAATTAATTTAATTTTCTTCAGATAAATACCCAGAAGTGGGATTGCTACATTATATGAAAGCTCTGTTTTTCATTTTTCGAGGAGTCATCATACTGTTTTCCATAGTGTCAGCACCAATTTACAATCCCACCCTGAGTGTATGAGGGTACTTTTTTTCTGTACATGTTAGAAAGCACTTGTTATATATTGACTTATTAATGACAACCATTCTGACTGGTGGGAAGTGATACCTCACCATGGTTTTGATAGGCATTTCCCTGATGATTAATGAGTATCTTTTCATATGTCTATTGACCATCTGTATGTCCTACTTGGAGAAATGTCTATTCAGGTCCTCTTCCCATTTTTTTATTGAATTATTGTGGGGTTTTTCTTGGGGGGGGGTTAAGTTGTATGATTTCCTTATATATTTTGTATATTAACCACTTAACAGATGTATAGTTTGCAAATATCTTCTCCCATTCAGTAGGTTGTCTTTTCATTTTGTTGATTTTTCCTTTACTCTACAAAATGTTTTTAGTTTGATGTAGTCTCATTTATTTTTTTAAATTATACTTTAAATATATGAGTTGTGAGTATATATAGGAAAAATAATTTAACATAAATTTATGAGTTTATTTTAAATTTTAGAAAACCCAAAGGGCTCATCAAAACTACCATTTTATTTTTAAAAAGTTTTTTAAACTATCGTTTTAAAATTATGGTTGCTTACGATGAATTTTTAAAGACACTGAATCAATTTAATTTTAAGAAAAATATTAAATAAGTAAAATTTTTATACGATCTTGGATTGTTAAGGGTGGAAAATTTTCAAGTGAGCAAACTAGCTAAGTCAGCTACAGGGAAGAAATATCTTTAGATATCAGAAGTTGTCCTACTTGCTTGTGTGTGGTTTAGGAAGTGTATTGTACAAAATATGTAGATGGCCAATGTCTGCTTCTGTAATCCATTTACTTGTTAATTAAGGGTGTTGTTCCGGGCAAAGATATGCTAAAAGCCAACTTCCACTTCTGTAATCTGCTGGCTTATTCAGGAGACCACCAGGATATGGTCTTGAGCTTTATTAGCTGGCTGCTCTGAAAGCTCGGGGCTGATCTCCTCTAGCCCTGCGTGGTAGAGAGTCAGTCGCAGGCCGGCTAATAAAGGCTCATAATTAATCTCAATTGGCTCCGTGGGTCTCAGAATCATTCGCGCCATAACAGGATGACAAAACAATTTTAACATCCCAGAAGCAGTATCTTCACACATGCATGCTACTCAGCCTTATACCTTACATATCAGTGTTTTCTATCCTGATTCTTCCATTCAGTATTGTCAGCAACAAATCTCTCACTATCTTTTGCTCTTTGGGTCATGTCACTGTTTCATAAAATGATTACAAGTGCATAATAGAGAGTGTACATTTACCGACATAATGTAGGCTTTTATCTCATACTAGGAAAATATATCACTTAAAAATGTTGATCTATAGAATGTGAATTTTTAAGTAAAAAAAAAAAAAAAAAAAAAAGGGGAGAAAAAAAACTAATTTTCCCTCTACCTAAGTTCTTAGCTGAGACTCCCCAGTATTAAAAGACCGTTTAACAATAGAAAAACAACCAGAAGGTATAATAACGTGTATACCTCCTATACACATGGCAGATGCCCAGGAAAACTAGGTAACTCCCTGAAATGGACCAAATCACCACCTGAAACACCATTTCCAGTTAAAGACAAAAGGAGATGTTTCGAGGGAGAGAGCTCGGTTTTCAGGGGAAGCCTAGTAAATGAGAGTATGGTTGTTATTCAAATTTAAGTCCCTATTTCTCCATTGATGAGTTTCTACAGATTTAAAAATTTTCCAAATACAGACAGAGAGACACCCTTACAAATGAAGCTTTCCCTTTTAAATGTAAATTGATCTTACAAAAGGGTAACTTCTAATTGGTTTTCAAAACTTCCCTCCTGTCTGCTGTTTTTGTTTTTTGATAATCAGCCTAAAATAATACTTATGCCAAAGAGGCATATTTTGGAGTGACAAAGTCTGCTCACCTTCTCTACTATTAGCAGAGGTATAGCAATGAAAACTACCAACAAGGTTTCTACATATGTAGAGATTCCCCACAACTTGTCAACAAAATTATTACATAAAGAGAGCTATGAAAATAGGTCTCATGTGCACTTCTAATATGAAAGTCCATGGAAGATGTTGTTAATCCATGATGGTCTTCTAGTTCAAATCAAATCCAATCTTAACAATTTAAAAACTGTCTAAAGCAAAGTCCCTGGCAACCG